CTGCACCAGACGTACCAGCGTCCCTCGAACTGGAACCCCAGGTAAGTGCGAAAGTCGGGGTGGATAGAGAAGTGGTAAAAACCATCACGCAGGTCGAGGGTAACCGCACGATCATGAGTGCCCATGATTTGTGGGAGGACAGAGACATCCTCTGACGAGAAGTGAGGTATGACACAATGTTCATTGACGTAACGCAGATCACAGATAAGGCGAAAGTTGCCACTCTTTTTTGGCACGACTTTCAACGGCGACACACATCGCGGCATTTCACTTACACATTCCACAACACCGTTTGACAGCAACTTGTGAAGTTCAGAACGAATGAAACTGTTTTCGTTACCTTTAAAGGGTGGATTATTGAACACCGAGGGTTCCGGCACACGAGCGAAGGGAATGGTAATGCCATGTGTCACCCAGTCTATCACCACATCAGAAGCTCCAATGCGCTCCCAAAAGGCTGGACACAGCGGCATCACTCACGTCTGTGGTCACGTTACCTGTTACGTGCACGTCCGTCTTGTCACTCTGAATCACTCCGGCACGTCCCTCGCGCCGCCCGTGCGCCGCGGCAGGGCCAGGTCACGTGACCCGGCTGGGTCAGAGCGGTCACGGGCGCCAGTCCAGTCAGCTGGCAGCGTGCCAGGGCCGAACCGGCGAGACCGTCCAAAGCCGAAGCCGCCGCCGCCGCCGTCCCGCCCGAAGCCGAACGGCTGGCGTGGCCCCCGGCCGCAGGGCGGCACCGCCGAACTGACCTGCCGAGATGAGCGGGCACCGGCGATGGAAACTGCCCGTTGGAGATTTTCCAAGGCACTCGGTGGGAAGGCGGCTGGGTTTTGCTGCAGGGTGGTGAACAGCTTGGAAGTGCCCTCGTCAAACTGACTGCTCACGAGAAGATTCGTGTACTCCTCTTGGAGGAAACGGAGGTGGGCAAGTGCCACCGTTGTGACGCTCGAAAGAGAAGCCTCGGTAACTTCAGCTGCCAAAAGCTTGAGGATGGTTTCTTGGAATCTCGCCGATTTCTGGATGAGGGTAAACCTCGGGAGATCAGCTCGACCGATGCCAGCACGGCTGTCTCCGACCACCAAATCAGCTGGTAGCTTGATCTTGGCGACACTCTCTTTTATAGCGCGAAACTCACTCTGTAGCTCACTGTAAGAGCTGAAGGCAGCGCCCGGCGCTGGCAACACTTGTTCTGGCACGACTTGCCGACGACCGGCGCTGTCGTTTTCGCATGCAGCTGACGCGGCGGAATGCCCAAGTGCGGGTCTGTCACTCGCTAACCGTGCCACGATCTCTTCTAAGCGATCGAACCTGGCTGACAGGTCTGCCACACTGTCGCCACGGTCACTCTTCTCATCCGCCATACGAACAGGCGGGGTTGGCAGTCGCCTAAAATACCGGCGACTACCCACAGCCACACTCCAGCACAGCGGAGCGCGCGCACCGATCGGAGAGCGGGACCGAACTGCCGGCCGAACTACGATTTTTCAGTCCTTTGACCTTAACTTTGACGTTAAACTTTGACGTTGGCTAAATGGTTTTCGATGAGTGGCTAGAACTTTGCAAGGGCTACATGTTGACTGTTGATGTCAAAGTTTTAAAAATTTTGGGTCATTTTTGCTGCTCCCCGTCATTTGACATTGACTTTGACCCTGAAGTTTGATTTTGACGGAAACGGATTTTGATGCCAAATCGCACCAAACGTGACCAAATGTGTGCCAAGTAACCTTCGTGAAAAGACTATAGTCCGCTTTTTAACCCTGTCTAATCGTTTAAAGCTCTCTAATGAAAAGCCAACGGGAAATCGCCATGCCTTTATTACTAGCCAGCTGAAAATTTCATCTAAATCTGGATTTTCTTTCGACTCTCTATTCATTGCCATAGCTCGACCCTAGCCCTATTTATTTGTGCACTTAAAGCGACCAGGTTAAAAAATCCTACTATAATATGCCTTACGAGTGAAGTGAAGCGTATTGTTAAGCGGATCCATTCCACTAATTCATTAGTTTAATCAAATGCGATCCTCTGCCATGCCTCCAGTGCTGCTCCTGATGCAAACTTAAAGCTTGCAAGTCTACATCCTCGTTCAATCTGTGACTACCAATGCCTACTAGTGGTGTCATTTTCCAAAAAATGTCTGACCGATACCGACCGATAACATCCCAAGCCAAAATTTGACCGAAATTTGACCGAAATTCTATTTGCTATTACTCTACCCCAAAATTGAATTATTTGGTAAATTCTGATGGAAACTAATGGGAAATGGCATTTCAGTCCAAGTTCAGTCAATTCTTAGCCACTGCAAAATACATTTTGTGGTAGAAGTTACTTACAGTTAAAGACTGGAATTGAGTTTCACAATGGTGTGTATTTGTGGGGCCAACTGAGTCAAAATCAGCCTGCTTGTGGTTGTGGTTGGACAATTGGTGGCTGCTGCCTGCTGAGTGGGATGGCTACTGAAGTTGCCAAAACATGGCATCCCTTGTAGTATTTGGGGGAAATTTTGCAACTTTATCATTAACATCCCAATAACTTTCATTTTAACTAGGCAAAAATGGAATACTTTCTCTTTTTGAAAATGGTTTCACTGACAGGGTGACCGAAAGTGTCCGATTTTTGGGGGGCCTGACCGACCGATTACCGAATCGGTCAGCATATCTTTTCGGTAACCGATTTTTTCGGTAACCGATTGACACCACTAATGCCTACACTATTTGTTTCGACCTAACAAATGGCAACCACTGCCTACACCCCAGCCTCCGTGTCTCGACACAAACTCGCGTGTCACTCCGAAGGTGACCTGACTGGTGTGTTATCCGCTATCCCGCCCTATTCCTTGAGTCCACCGTGCCACTGACCTCAGGGGCGCCAGCCTGCGGACCTCGCCACCTTTACAGGTCATGCATCTCAAGATCAGTTTAGCATGATCGATCGTTGCTTCATGACGCTTTTCTCTAAGGCGCCGGGTCATAGGGTAGTCGACTCGATAGGGCGTGTATGTTGATTGGAGGTCAGCGCGGATGCGCTGACCCCTGGGGGGGGGGGGGGTCAGCTGAGTCTAACGGCCGAGTTCATACCTACGCCATTTTGTTGTGGATCCAATGACAGGTGCATTTTTATGCTGAGAAAATGTATGCTGCAGCAGCGCCGGCGACGTGGTTTTGCACGGAGCTGTGCACATGTCAAAGTATTGATCAGTGATCACACTGATCAGTGATAAAGTCAGCCGAAGAGTGCTCTGCACTTTCGATGTGAGAGGAGGAAACATGACACATGCGACTAACGAAATATACGATGCGGGGTTTCCAGGTTTTCGGCGTTACATGCATGGCTATACATGCGGTCTAGCTGGTCTATGGCTCATATTTCTTATTGTGGTGATGTATCCGGGAGGTTGAATTTGAGGACATTCCAGAGAGACTGGGACTTGGGAGTGCTCAAACCAAGGATAACCTTCATGTCACTTTGTTTGATTATCAGAGGCAAATAACAATAAATGTATGCGCCGAGTGGCTTATGATAAATAAAAGACGCAGCAGTTCCCACCTGGGTCCTTAACCCTTGCCCGCACACGGGGTGGGGGGGGGGGGTGGTTGCCATCCCAGGTAGTTTTTATGCTCTGCACTCAACATTTTTAGAGCTAGAAGCCTGATTTTTCGTATAGCTGCTCCTCTATCCTTTCTTGATGTCCACTGAAAAGTGAAAATGTCAAGTTTCTGTGGTTTTTGGTTTCGGAGATATGGCCTTGTTTTTTCAGGTCATGTCATGACCCAAATTACCAATTCTCAACATCTTTCGTTGGCTATGTGCCTTGTGAGCTTTTGACACCTTGATTTCGGCCTTTTTGCCAGTCTTAACTCTTACCTCCCACCTATCATGGAACATGCTGTTCGACGATGTACAGATGTCAAGGTCAGGGTCAAGGTCAACCTAGGTCATCTAAAATAATTGCGTTTTAGGCAAGCTTAATTTACTTTTCGTAAGGTTTTTTGACTGCATTTTTGGTAAAAGCTTCTCAGATCATGATTTCATGTAATATGAACACCTAAACAATCGGTGCACACATCAGTATACACACAGAAACACACAGACATACAAACACATATCATTGAACTTGACCTAACTTGACCTGAAATGACCTCAGCAGCAAAAACCTGGTCGGGTAGTGTGACAAAGAGGTTCTAGCTGGCTTGGCACGAGAAAACGGCATCGTCATCGGTATGTGATAAGCAGCGCACTTGATATCCAACGGTGACCCAAAACAGCAACAATTTTTAGTTTGACCTGACCTGGAAGGTCAATGACTGACCTGAGAAGGTAAAACTGGGTATCATAGGATTCCTTCCCAAAGAATCTTTTTGGTCGTTACCGCGAAGCTCTATCTCCAACAGGAACGAAATGGCGGGGGGTGGCAACCCCCCCATGTGCGTTCTATGATGGGAAAATGGCATGTGCGGGCGAGGGTTCAGTTAATCATGGATTAATTAGACAGTTTCTAGCTCTACAGATGTCGTTCCATCGGCATCCACAAGCATCACCCACTGACGAAATGCGACTCATTTCAATCCTTATCGCCGAATGAGGTATGCACCTTGGTGATCATAAGGTTAGACACCCTGCTCCGACCGAGAGGTCAGCAGGTTTTGCGGGCCATCTGATCTGGGTGCATTGGGATGATGCTACCGTTGCGGTTAACTCTGGTGTAATGTGACTGTAGCAGAAATCTGATGCTAAGTGTTGTTTATTAGCTGTTAGTGTTCCAATTGTTATTTATTAGAAACTGGAAGCTATAGGCTCTTATAATGCTGTCACTCGAATGCCTAGGTATTGCCCTTCCTATATCTTTCCGAAGATAGCTTTTTGGTAGATTTCACTTTTGTTGCAATCATAGCCTTATCCACGCAAGAATGTGTGTGTCGGTGTTTTTTTTTGTGTGTGTTTATCGTGACCATCGTTGGATTCACTGTTTATTGACTTGTTCTTTTGGTCTTTTGTTCCAGACTATGAAATATTCGAAGCACATTGTTGTATGGCTGGCGCTCATCACGCTCGTAAAGATCCACGTTAGTTCGGAAACACCACACAAAGGTCAGAAAAAGCTCCAGATAACCTAAAATAACAACTGGCTTTTCCACACAAAAATGTCCCGGGAATGGAACTCCGGCAGGTTTAAGGCTGGAACAGACTCTTTCCGCATTCAGGAAATCGCATGCGAGAGCCTATTCAAATACATTATAATTCTTCTCGCATCAATCGCTTGCGGGAGGTGCGTGTGATTGATGCGAGCGTGCTTCCATGTATTTGAATAGGCTCTCGCATGCGATTTCCTGACTGCGGAAAGAGTCTGTTTCAGGCTTTAGGGGTACGGACCTGCTCCTCTCCCTCCTTTCTTCAATTCAGTGATATACTCGAGGGCACAGCTTCACTTCATGTCCCGTAGCAGTTTCAGCCCTCCGACTCAACGGGCCCTCAGACTCACCGGGACCGAGAAATCGGGATAGAAGCAGTGCACAGTGCCACCTGGGGACTGTTGTAGGAAGCGCACAGTCGAGACCGTCCCGCTTGGATGAGGTGCGGTGTGCTGTGGGTATATTGTGTAGCGTGTACTGGCTATACTGACTACTGTTAGACTGCTTTGTTTATAAATTATAGTGTAGTAGTGGTGGCAAAACTGCGGTGTGCTTGTGTCCGCTCTTAACCCTCGCCGGCACGGGGGGGGGGGTGATGCAACCCCCCTTAAGGTTTTTCGTGAATAACTCGCGTAAAAAGCGGCCGATCGCGACGAAACTTTCAGTACCTTCGCATTGATCAATTTTACACCTACCCTGAAAATTTCATGACCCTGACCCAAATGACCTTTGACCTGTGACCTCTTTGCTGAGACCATGTTTGGCCGGAATCGCGATTCGGCGTATCAATGTCGGCGTATCGCGATTCGGCGTATGGTATGTCGGCTCGCATTAGCCGCGCGTTTGCAAGCTTTTCGTGGTTTCAAACGTTCAAACATGTGATTTGATGTTGCTCCCATACATAAGGGTGGGTGTCAAGGTCACCTGAAGGTCAGGTCAGGTCATTGACCTTTGGTGACCTCGGGTGACCTCGGTTCACTTTTTCGAGTTTTACATGTTTCTAGGCTAGTTTTTGGAGCTGAATTCGAATTTAGCAACCATTTGAACATTTACGAAGTAGTTTTGGTGCCTTCGTAACATGTTACGAAGCTGTCAGAGGCGGTTGACACGTATTACGAATACCCGTCACAACCCCTACCGGTTGACCTGACCTGACCTGACCCGACCTGGTCTAAATGCTTAAAGACATCATCTTTGATCAAAACTAACACGATATTCGTGATCAGCACCCCGGAAAACCACATAGCAGCCACACTTTACGACTTTCTAACAGGTCCCGATTTTCCCGGTTTTCGGGTCATTGACCTGACCTGGAAGGTCACCCGATGACCTAGGACCTTAAAATTGGGTATCATCGGCTTCCTCTCGTGACGGGCAACACGCTCGTTTTTTCCGCGAAGCTCTAGCTCGATCAGGGGCCAAACGCGAGGGGGGGGTCGTACCAACCCCCCCTTGTGCCGCCGAAGAACGCAAAATGGCCTGTGCCGGCGAGGGTTAACGATAAAAGTCGGTTCGGCCATGAAACAAAAATTTATTAAGTGTGCATAGCATAGATAGGCATATATTGTTTAAAAGTGCTCATTAGGGCTAAGCTACGGAAGCTACGGGTTCTTTCAGAAGCTATCATGACATGTGTGTATCGTTTTTCTTCAGCTGCTCTCGTTTGGAATGATGAACGCACCACGAAATCGGTGGTTTCGACCACCACGACTACAACGACTCGACAAACGACCACACCTTGGACCGGCGAAGAAGCGTGAGTAAGAACGTCGTGCCCGTCGTGCCGTTCACCGTGATTCTGTCCAGTTAAGATGAGAATCACGAGGCACGTAACTTCATCTGTGGTCCTCAGACTTCGGCCAACAGCCCTCCCCATTATCCTTCAACCAGAAACGGTTCGTTTTGAGTGGTTAGCACTTCTGTCCTGCGTAGGCGCTTGGACTCTTTTGTCGGCCAGACTGGCAAGGTTTCCGTTACTTTATTGAAAGTCAACGTTTTATCTTTATGTTCTATAGACCAGCGAACTATGTATGTAGGTAGATCCGTCAACCAAACACTAATATCTCTGCACCGTATGCCAAATTCTTTTTTTTTTACCGTATTATAGGTATTCGTACTTCGTTGGTATACAAAGTAGCCCCATTTGCGCATAAGATGCTCTGAACCTGTCAATACATAGTTTACATAGATTTCTCTTTTTTCAAGTTTGTTCATTTTTGTCATAATTACGAGGATTTGCTGGTATTTGGTTTGATACCTATAGGTGTTTTGTGTAAAATCAACATCACTGGTGCGGTCTATGTTCATATTCGTTTTGCTTGTTCTCGTCTGTCCCCAGTCCGGAGCTGATCCCCTGGCAGCTATTCAACTCCCGATCTCTCTGGGACATTGGACACCAGTCTCCTCAACAGACCCTCTCCGGTCCCCTTCTCTACGACGTCCGCTCCGCCGTGGATGCTGCCATCGCGCGACTGAACCAGGAGATCTCGGCGGCAGTCAGTCGTGAAAATCGCAAACCCTACACGAGGGCTGACTTACTGGACGGAAGGCACAGATATCTGCCCGGTCTCGGGTCAGAGTATGTGATCAACTTCGTCGGCAGGGGGTCGGTGAGAACGGAGACGGTACGACTGAAGCGGCCGGTGGGTCAGCTGATGTCTTCGAAATCGAAGAGCGGCTCTGGGGAGGTTATAAGACTTGTGGTACCCTACTATCACGAGCCGAAGACTTTCGGCGCGTTCTTGGCTAACCTGGCACACCTAATATTAGAAAAGAACGAACCCCTTGAGCTGCTCCTCATCTTTTACTGGCGCGGATCTCCGGCAGCAGAAGCCTCTGAAGTCTTGCGCGACAGGAAACGCGTCGGGGCGGCTCTCGACAAACTGAACCACCACGCCGGCCGCACTGTGGCGCGTTTGGTCGACGAAAAGAGACTATTCTCTCGCGGCCATGCCCTGCTGCGAGGCGCCGAGCAGCCCGGTGCCAACGGCGGCGACGTTCTACTCTTCTTCTGTGACGTCGACATGTTCATCAGTACTGACACGCTGCGACGCTGTCGCACCAACGCCATACCGGGAAAGAGTGTGTACTACCCAATCGTCTTCAGCACGTATAACCCGTCGCTGCGTGCCATGGCCTGGGACAAACCTCTAGAATCTCCCTGGAAGTATCATCCCGTCACACGAGATGTAGGTTTTTGGAGAGACTTTGGATACGGCATGACGTGCCAGTATCGCTCCGATTTCCGTCGCGCGGCAGGGAAATATCTCATCTCTAACACATGGGGTGGTGAAGATGTGCACCTCTTCAAACACCACCGCCGAACGGGGATCGAGGTGGTGCGTGCACCAGACCCCGGACTGGTGCACGTGCACCACCGTGCCAGGTGTGACACCAGTCTGACACCAGGTGGTGCGGGCTGGTGCGGCGGCTCGCAACTACTCACGGAGGCCTCGGCGGGCACATGGACACGATGGGTACACAAAATGCAACAGGGACGTCTGAGTCTGGTAGTGCCTGAGGAGTAAATGTCGCTGAAAAAATATCGATGCTTGTCCTGTAATAATGTTAGTAAGCGCTTTCTTGAGGCTCATTGTAAAAATATGAAGATTAAGAACCGTAGCCTCATACTAAAGTGAATATATTGCCGAATATAATCCAATCAAGTGAGACGACAGTTTCGGGCATGGCCCATTATCAAGTCTCAAACTGTCGTCTCACTTGATTGGATTATATTCGGCAATATATTCACTTTAGTATGAGGCTACGGTTCTTAATCTTCATATTTTTTCTTGTCCTGTAATGCGAGTTACAGTCGTTGAAATTCGCACGTTGACGGGGGGTTTCATGCAACTCCATCAGATGCTATCTGCTTTATATGAAACCGTCATATTGCTTTGTTGAAGCCTGCCATTGCACAGGATAAAGCTTTGGTAAAGTATAATATTTGTTATGACCTTTTCCTCGAATTAAGAAATGTGAAAATTCGAAAGTGACGTAGATATTCTAATGGTTGAATTTTCGCCCACAGCGCATCGTCAGAGACAAGCAAATAGCATCGAGCAAACATGTACAATTCAAATATCTTGCAATTGCCGAGCCATAAATGTCACATAAATGGCTCGGCAACAGCAAGATATTTGATTTGCACATGTTTCCTCAATGCTATTTGCTTGTCTGACGATGCCCTGTGGGCGAAAATTAGAATACGTCACTTCCGACTTTTTACATTTCTTAATTCGAGGAAGAGGTCATAACAAATATTATACTTTATCATAACAAGATGTTACTCGCGAGAGCACTCAACAACCTGTCAGGGTAAAGCTTATATAACTCTAATAAAATCCGGTGGTATGTGGCAAAAAAGCTGTATTTTCAAAATTCAATGAAGCATGTGATGCACGATACGATACGATGCTTTGTTGTAACTAAATACGCCAGTCTTTTTGTGGTTGTTACTTGTTATTGTTGTTGTTGTTGTTGTTGTTGCTTTTTTCAAGGTGGCACATGCAGTAAGGTGATATTTCACGTCTTTGCTGCTGTTTTGCATCGTGATATTATAACTAATAATATATTTCAATGGATGCTGGTGGGATCATTTTCTCTTTATGTCACTTTGCAGCGCGTAGCATGCCTGCAGTTGATTTTCGACGCTTAATGCACGTGTGGCAGATTTTTCAAATAAGGAAAGGTATTGCACATTTTTATTTACGCGTGTCTGTACTGTTTTTAGTTCCATCGTGACGCATCAGATTGCTGTCTGACCATTATAGAGTTCAGTGTATCTGACCAAAGTGTCCACCATAATAATATGTTGCGTTGTCTGCTCAATATACATGCATCTGCACTCTGCAGGCTCACTTGTGTATAACTACGAATAGGTATCAAATAGTTAGGTGTCCGAATCTGCTTTCTTCATTTAGATACCCTTTGTTCTCGTGTGATGCCTTCTCAATAAACGTTGAAAATGCTTCCCTGAAATAAAGGGAGCCTAAATTATATCATGTACCACGGCTATTTTTAATGTTTCAACTGGGGGAAAACTTTGGAAACATTGGAAAATACAACTATGGAAAGACCAAAATCTCCATATTAGTAGAGAAGTATAGTAAGCGGCAGCATTGCGATATTCAGTACGAAGGTCACAGTCATTTCGCTTTACAATGAATGTTTTGGTTACATATTACATCGTAACGATAACATAACGTACGTAGGTATGTTCTCATGTCATGTCGCAATCGCAAAAGGTCACCACATATGCCAATAAATCATTTTAATAATTTATGCTAAGAAACAACAATGCGACATTGGTAAGGACAAGGCAAACAATAACATTCATTTTTCTTTGAACTGAAGGCAGCGGACGCTGAATTCAGGCAGAAGGGCAGCACAATTTCCCTCGATTTAGGTTTAGAGCTGTGCACTACGCAGGACCACGAACCTGATACCTATGTCCACCCATCCGCTTGTCCATTCGCAAATCACGCTTGCCCCCGGACCAATGTTTTGGACTTGTTTCTTTAGACCTTTTCTTCATCCCAGTTCGAAACCTGATGTTAGAAGAATATTCCATTGATGTTCATTGACATATTTATTAATTTGGCCCCTAATGATAAGCTAGCCGAGGCGCCCCACAATACACACTGAGGCGCTCCGCCCCTCCCCCTCCCCCCACGCAACCCACGGCATCTGCCCACCCCACCCCCTCTCCCCTACCACCCCCTCCCACCCACCAGTCCACGCGCTCGAGAGGCACAGGCGCCCGACTCGAACCAATCAGAAGCTAGGACACAGACGGCGTACGCAATATCTCCCAATCAGCACGACTCATACAGAATACACTTGATTCTGCGTCAAAATTCAGTGGAACGAAACGAAAGTTGTTGATTGTTGTGCTGTTGTTCAGTTCGTCTGAGGCTGCTAGTATCAGGAATTGCTATTTGTTTTTAGTGCAATTACAGCATTGGAAGATACAACGGACACCGGTGTTCGCGCCTTACCGTAATGTCAAAACAGTGGGACTCATTCTAATTTGCGCTTTATGTGTGACGCTAGCACAATTCGGTGACCCAAACATGGCTGCCCTGCGCCGGGCCTGCGGAAGCGGCCTGCTCGTCTTGTATGCCAAAGCCAGACACCCAGCTGCATGGATTCTCGTTACGGGTCGGCCAACCCAAACCAGCATTTGGTGAGTAGGTACCAACCGCGGGCCTCAGAGGAATAGCGGGGATTTTTGTCATATTTGCTCTTATCATTTCATCTGAACCCTGTCCCTGAGTTGACCATCCGCGACTTCCCCTTTCCCTGCCCCCCCCCCCCCCACCCCAAGTGAGCGCCCGTCAAACCGTCAGCAGTCGGGTGACGGGCGGTTTACGTCGGTTTGTTCGTTGTTAAATGTTCCTACAGGTGACGCTACTGTGCTCAGATGCCCAATGACAAGATGGCGCTGGTGTGAGTGACTGCTCTCACCTTTCGGTTCTCACAAACAGGATTGTAGTTTTATGATTGTTTCAAGAAGCCCTTTGACCTGGGTATCGCTGTTTTTCGCTTCGATATAAACACAGCATACGACGACTTTGATGCTTTGGAAGGTAACCAACCCTCAATAAATACTTATGTATCCGTGTTGATTAAAGGGACCCTCCCATCTTAACATTAGATTTGAGTTGAGATAGCCAAAATGGGGTCCCTGGCTCACAATTACCAGTTTCGGCACTCACAACTTCGAGAAATGCCTTAAATCGGAAATATTGAATTTCAAAATTGCAGCATTTTGATTCAGAGGGGCTAATGCTTAGGAATACCCCTCTGAATGTGTGACGTCAGGGCAGATATCTAACGATTTTTAAATGTTTGACTAAAACGTTTTGTAGCACGCGGTGGTATATGCTATTTGCGCGCAACATCTGCCGCAAACGCCGCACTTCTAAAATAAAGTCGCTAGCAACAGCGGAGATCCCAAAAAAGTAAACAATTGTAAAAGTCTAATATCTTGAAAACCGGTGAATATTTTTCGGTGAAATTTGGTAGATATTCGTTTTCGCTCTTTCTGAACCGAGCGACATCACTTTCATGCCAATTCATAAACTTTTTTGAAGGTGGGAGGGTCCTTTTAAGGTCAAATGATTTGCACGTATTTGCATTGCCGGGAATAAGGGATGAATAATGTAGGTACAGAACGAGACATGATGCATCTAATAGTTATATAAGTAAGTTTGTGGCACATACGTTATGAAAAAATGCATTTATGGGTAAGAATTCTGAATGGCGATCTATACCCATTTATTTATACGTAACGCCGCGCAAGGTAAATGTAACGAGCTGAGAGGATGGAGCGTCTACATTCGCATCTATAGATGGCCTTGATTCACAATTCCTTTCTAGATGGCAGCTCAGCGAATTGATCTGACAATTCACACTCACCCCAACAGCGATCGGTGGGGGGCTAGAGATGTCGCTAGCATGGGGCCTATGCAGATGACACTTATTTGTCAGCTTCGCTGGCAGCGAGCTCCATTGACCATTGCAGTGCCATAGGTGGTGATATGATGGTGTTGGACATTGCTGTAGTGAGTGAGGCTAAAGCCCTCGCCCGCACATGGAAAGGAGTAGAGTGGTTGCCACCCCCAGGTAGTTTTCTGCGCTGTATTAAACATCTTTACAGCTAGTGGTCTGATTTTTCGTGTATCTGCTTTTTGATCTTTTTGCAACGTCCACTGAAAATTCCTGTGGTCTTTGATTTCGGATACATGACCCTGTTCTTCAGTTAATGTCATGGCACAAATGACCAATTCCCAACATCTTGCGTAATGCGTTGGCTATGGGTCTCGTGAGCTTTTGACACCTTGATTTCGGATTTTTTTCTTGCCAATCTTACCTCCCACTTTTCAAATTTCATGGAACATGTAAATCGACGATGTATAGATGTCAGGGTCGGGGTCGAGGTCAGCCTAGGTCGTCTGAAACATTGTGTTCTAGACATGTCGAAATTAGCATGCTGAAATTACTTTTCATGAAGTTCGTTTGACTGTATTTTCAATAAAAAGCTCCCTAATGAGTTCATGAACTGACAGTGGCGGATCCAGGGGGGCAAAATGGGCATTTGCCCCGCCCCAAACGGCATAAATTTAACATTACGCCTATGGACGATGCATGGAAAGAATCGATAAATTGTTATGGTTTGCCCCCCCCCCCAAAAAAAAACTCTGAGCTGGATCCGCCTCTGTGAACTGATGTAATAAGGTCACATAAAACAACTGGCGAAAACATCAGCATACTACACCTTTTTAGGCGCAATTTCAAAAATTTAAAGACAAAATTCAAAAAGTTTACATTCAAAATGCACGTGAACCTTTTTGAATTTGGCCTTTAACTTTTGAAATTGCGCCTAAAATGCTGTAGACACACACACACACACACACACACACACACACACACACACACACACACACACACACACACACACACACACACACACACACACACACACACACACACACACACACACAAACATACAAACACATACCAAGCGAGCGCGTTCTTTCTGACACGATCACTTGAACTCAAGGCAATGTTTTGCTCCCGTTCGTGAGTTGCGTTTGCGTTAGACAATGGTCCGTCCGTATGCCATTTTAGATCAAATGAGGTCATGACGGGCAGCGCACGTGATATTCCAATGGTGACCCTAAACAGCAACAGTTTGTAGTTTCACTTGACCTGGAAGGCCATTGATTGACCTGAGGAGTTGAAATTGAGCACTATTGGATTTGTCTTTTACCAATGAATCTGATTTTTGTTGTAAATCCCTATCGCCACCAGGAACCTCACGGCTGATGAGGGGTGTAGTACCTACCCCCGAGAGCTATCGGATTTATATCAACATTAATTATGCCAAAATTGTTTTCAATATAATCCAGCATATTCGAGTACAATAATTCTATATTAAAGATTCCAACGGTAGTGTAAACAAAAACAATGATAACGATAACAATTCATAATAAATAATAACAGCAACAAACCATTCCCCAGCGCAACATGTTTCACTCGTTTCATTTAACAATCTGTAAAATGATTTGAAGCAGTCGCTGGCAAGTGCATTGCGCATAATTAATTTGTAATTATTTGTGTAAGTAATTAACTATAGGTACCCATATCTTCGTGGTTGTTTTTTAATGCCATATACGCGATTTCAGATAATAAACCTCTTGTTGAACCTATTTTATGTTGGGAGCATACGTTTGCTAAAAGTTATTTAATTTCCCTCTTGCTCTGTCCTTTTTAGTTTTAATGTGTGCTTAGCTGAGCGCATTCCATGAGCAAGTGCGCCTTTTTACATCGATTGAATCAGATTCACAGCCAATGCTTAATTAAAAGAAGATTAATTCAATTAATGGTATACCAATGTAACGTTAGAAAATGCACAAAAGCCTTTAGCTTTACTTTGAAGTCTTTTGTTAAAGACTAAATACGACTTTTCTATGTGAGAGATTCCCTTGCTTTGAAATATCGTAGAAACAAGCACTTCGCATATTATTCTCGTCTATAGAATAGATCACGAAGTCATTCTCCTGAGACCGTTCACACGTACGACCTTCGTGGTCGGCGGAGCAGTGAAGGCCGCTATTCTCGTCCAGTTGAGGCCGGCTTTACCGACATTAGTCTCCACACCAGTCCTCCGTTTTCCGTACTGTGTGGGTGCTACCACCTCACCCCCCGCCATGTAGGCCCCCCAGAACCCAAACGTGCCGTGCGTGAGTACCGTGTGATTACAGGCAGCCAGTAGAGCCAGATCCGTGCCCGGTTTAGCTTGGACACCGTCACCGGCCAGAACGATGTCAGTGGAGTTGGATCGGGATATCAGCTCGTTTTTACACCATTCCAGGTCGTCGGAAACAACCACGAATAGTGCGTCGCGGTGGCGACTTCGCATCAGTGCCAGAGCACGCTCTAAGTAGTCCCTGTCCACTAGCCGACCCTCGACCATTTTAGGCAGCCACGTGGCATAGTCGGTACGACGCACGTGCACGCCAATGAAGGTTGGTGAGGTCACGTTAGCCCGACGGGCCAGTTCGGCCAGCCGGCGGTCAGCAGACGAGGTCAGCTCGGGTCGGAAGGTGAGCTCTCGCAGCACCCGGTCACGTATTGGATGAAAGAAATGCACCGCCGTCGGGTAGCCACCGATAAGATAATCCCGATCCTCTTTTGCGTCTTTGATTAGCGCATCCACGCTAATCTCGGTCCAGTTGTAGTTACATCCGACGGGTAGCGGGCGTGTTGATAGTGGTTCGAAGAACTCCTCGAGAGTTTCGGCCATCTTTGGTAGCAGCCAGACTGGTCGGTGAAGGATGTGACTGGCCCCCAGCAGCGTGGCGTATTCAAACATGATGTTACCTAGTCGACCACCCTTTGCGGCAGAGAGTAGGCGTCCCGACGGTGGGCAGGTCAGAGCTGCGGGCCTCTCGGGTGGGACCCTCTCCTGCGGGACCTTCTCCGGGTGTGGGACCCTCTCCGGGTTCGGGGTCCTCTCCGGTGGGACCATCTCATGCTTCGAGACCTTCGCAGGTGGGACCCTCTCCGACAGGGCCATCTCAGAGTGTGGGACCCTCTCCGGCAGCTGGGTCCTCTCCGATATGACCCTATCCGATGTGACCCTTTCCGGCTGGACCTTCGGGTGCGGGACCCTCGCCGGGGGGTCGCAAGGCTCTTCGCGAGGTCGGAGCTGACCCCTGGAGTTGACGAGCAGCAGTAGTAGTGTGAAACAGCATATCGACACGAGTAATGTCGAAAGAGCTCTGTGTGATAAGCTGGCCTGCCAGCGCAATGTCCGGAGTCCGGCGGTCATGGGATCCGGACCTCCGGGCCCACGAGGGTGGAGGTACCAGCAGTCTGAAAAGAAAAAATGGCCGGTAGTCATGATCAATAGCAATATGATGATCAGCAATAATTGTGTTGACCAAAAACCAATACCAACGCTGTGTATTCATTATCTATGTCGTAGATCGTATTGTATTCGTAAAGGTAGGTTAGGTACTGTGGTAGTCTTAATGTAATACATGACAGTAGCCGTTTTCACGACAGCCATTTGGTACACATTTGGTGCAGATTAGGTGCAGATTTGGTCAAATTAGGTTCATTCGCCGGATCAGCCGTTTTCACGACGGCCATCTGGTACATATTTGGTGCACATCT